ACTGCTATTGTAGTTGAATAGAAAGTCAATTTACTGTGACCTTGAAATTGACCTTTGACCTACCTTAACTTAACTTTGATTGTACCATTTTAAGTTATATATATTTTTTGCGTATTTTGAAAATTCTTGTTGATTGCATTTTTATAGCTTGTCAAGCATAAGACTGGTGGCTGTGTCCCTTATTTTGTGTATGTGGGGGTCTATACGAATGCGCTTGCTCCAGCTGGTGGTACAATATTCGGAGGCGGTATCGCCTCTCTGATCCTCTAGTTATTATGGGTTTTCGCATGATTTTGGTGACGTTTGCCCCAGAACTTCCAAACCGTACTTTTGTTTTATTCAAATTTTACTGCGTGGCTTGTTCGGTAAAGAGGCAGGTTGTTTTCGAAAATATGAAAAATGATTGGTTTACATTTACGCTAGTTATCGCGCGTGTGTGTGTGTGTCTGAAATTATCATTTTTCACACATTAGCATTTTCAATGGCTTTTATACCTGGAACTGAATCACTTGCTTTTTTTTTTCATCTTACATGGAAACAGCTGTGAAACAACACAATCATGATAAAAAATGAAACAAATATTGATGTAAAGCATGCACAATATAGTTTATTACCCGCATTTCATTTTGACATCAGGACACTGCAAACCATTTGGCTCTGAGTGCTACTTTCATACCATGAATCAACAATCACGAACGAACATGCTGAATGTCGTGAAGTATAACGATTTAAGAATCTAGAATATTCCATTTTTTCAAAGTTAATGATGAGCCAGTCGTGAATGTCAGCCACACAGTTGGTAATTTTATCCATAGACGGTTTAGGAGTATATATGTCCCAGCAAGAATAGATCTGAATATCATCAGACAAATATCAAATTTCACCCAATCATATATTTTAACATTACCCCGGTAGATTAAGAAACGTCGGTGCTGTTAGAAACTACCAGGATCAATGTTCATGCGATGATCACGTCTCGTTTAGACTACTGCAATTCTTTACTCTATGGCACTACCGAAGAACGAATAAAAACTGCAGCGAATTTGAGAATAGTCAATCATTTCATCTATTTTATTAATTTTTTAGTGTGATAATACAACTTCATCATAAAACAAATTATTTCATATTTCCTCCCACTTGCAATTAGCGTCCCAGTGAATACGGTACGTTTAGACCTTACTGCTAGAATTTAGTGGTCAACCGGATTCTAACCAAACTTATAAATATGGATAAAAAGCAGTAATCAAAAGAACTCGTACGTTTGCACGGCGAATTTATGTGACATTTGCTTCTTTTACTCCGTACCCCTCTACAGTATGCCTGATCATGACTCAGCCCGAGGAATGAAACGTGCGTATTTTGAAATCTATTCTCTAACGATACTTACGGCCTTTGCAACCGGATAAGCACAATCAATCACAGCGTGACCAGTTTACACCCCTGTCATGAGTACCCTCTACCAGGGTGGCAGATATTATAGGGGTAAAAAATTAAAAACCGTAGAACCAAATAATCGTCCATTTATCTAAAGACATATCTGTGAATATCCTGTGAAAAATCAATCTGTCGCCCTGGTAAAGGGTATGTCATGGGTATCCCACTAAGTTATCAGTCAAATAACTTCCCTTTATGATTTAAATAGTAGATAATAATTATTGGTGGAGGTTTCCACTTTCTAGTTTTTCTAGTTATACTTGAAATGAAAGATAAATATGAAACCATCGCAGGAAAACTTGGTGTTATCATTTCACCGGTCAATCACATCTTTTCCATTGTTATCTACAGACACCGTGCATCTGCACATATATACAATATCAGTCCACGTCGCCGTGCATTTGTCACTGATAAAAATATGTCAAAAATGTGTGGAAAACTGCGTGACTTATTATCCTCAATCTTACTGCGTGATTTGCGACTCCGAAATTTAGGTCAGGCAACTTTATTAGACCATGTTCTCCTTTTTCCTCTCCATTTTCAATGTCTGGCCCGAAGCCGTATGCTAGTTTTTTTTTTTTTTTTTTTTTCTGAATGTCCATGTTACCTTTGGCACATAGGTAAAATGTAATTGTTATTGGTGCAGTAACATTGCATCAAACTTAGCAGCAATAGTTTTTTGTGATCAGCTATCGTTATGATAATATTAGGAACATTGTAATACTCCAACTAGAATACAGCCCAATTGATTAGCTATTCATCTTTAAGCTAATATATTTTCAACATTGGCATTTGAGGCCAGGTCACACTGCGCTTGCGACCTTTTTGCAACCTTTTTGCAACCACAAAATCTGGCGGTCGCTTGCGATCACTTTGCAAGCTTATTAAGAAGCTGTGGCCAATTTTGATCGGCAAGCAGTCGCAAACCGGTTGCAACAAGGTTGCAGTATGGTATCTGCAACCTCTTATAGGCCATCTTCAAGTTATAGGTAACTAGTCGCACACCGTTTGCCGAGCGATACACAACCTGTCTGCAACCACTTGGTGACCGAAAACCGGTTGCAGGACTGTAGCAATCGCTTGTCAACTGGTAGCAGCAAGGTCGCACAGAATATAAATGTTGCCAACTTGTGACAGCAGCTGCTTTTACATAAATTCCCCTCTCACAAAAATGTTCTAGTAAAACGACTCCTTTTCAAAAAGACGGGACTGCTATAATCATTGACTTTGTTTACCTAAGAAGTAAAACGAGTAAAAAAAGTCGAAAATATTGGACGCTTATAAGACGCCCCTTGTAAGGCGATTACAAACATTTGATGAAAGAACTTGGACTTGAAAATCAGGAAGTTTTCATTTCCTTCCTAAAAACAGAACCAACAATATTTTGTGAACTTTTGAAAAGACTACACCCTCACCTAACGAAACCAGTGCTGTAATAAAAACATAAACTTGCATATGTTTTAATCCTTATTAATCTCATAATACTCTTTAATATGTTCTTGGTCAAATACTTGGTCTCTTTGAGGTCGCAAGGCCTGTGCAGTTACGGTCACACTGAAGAAAAAACGTCTTTGCGACTTGCAACTGTCACCGGTTGCAAAAAGGTCGGCGACCGGTTGCAACAACTCGCAAAGTGGTTTCCAAATGAACGCTGGGTTAATATCCGGTTGCGCCGGTTTTCGGTGCAGCACCGATATCCTCCTGGCGACCGAAAAACCTACTTGTGGTATCCAACCGGTTGCCAACAGGTCGCCGACTGCTTTGCAACTGATTTGCAACCGAATGTGTGTTTTTCCCTTTGTCTTTTTAACCCTAGGCGTTTGCCACTTACAATACAACGTAATTAAATCGTGACAAGTCATGCGCATCGTGTACTTTTTACACTCTCATCCTTGTAGTGAGGATACCAAGCACTGGGAAGATGTTAAATTGTTTGTGTTGAAACTATTTTTATTTAAGTCTATTGGACACATTTTACGATTTGTTCATTTATTTGTGGATAATTTTGATTGTTGAAATTATGATATTAAATAGCAGTTATACCTTGCTGATTAAATTGCTTTTATTTTCCGTTTTCTCTGCATTCGTGTATTTGTTTCATTATTTACTCTGAAAATATGGCTTTGCACATTTTAAATAACATACAGCGATATATAATTTTCGGCATTTTACCTATGATTTTCGTAAAATGATAATATAAATAAACGTCAAAAAATCGTACATTGCTTTTATCATCACATTTTTTTTTTTTTTTTTTTTTTGGTTTCGTAAGTGTGAAATACCTGGTATATGAAAGCCTTGGCAATAAAATATTGCCAACAAATGCAATTTATGTTTTCTTTTTCTAAAATATTATAATTTATGACCTTGATATTTAGAAGGCTTACATAACAAATTTTGAAAAAAGTCTGCCCAAATAGCCCACCACCCCACGCCTATTTTTTTGCAGTCGCTTGCAACCTTCCTGCGACAAATTTTCGAACGCCTGCGATCGGTAAAAAACCAGTTAGCGACCAAGATACTAAAGACCGTCAATCGACCATGCAGTTGCAAATGGTATGCTGCTGGTTATGGCAACCTACTGACAACCAAGAAGAGACCGATAGGCAACCTTAAGGATACCGATAATTTTCATCTTTAGTCGCACTGGTTGTCGGTGCACAAAAAATGGCCTTCATGTGTCAACGATCGCAGGCGACCTGTTAGCAACCTAATGCCACCACCTTAAAACCTATGGCAACCTCCTTGCGACTGAGGTTGCAAAGAGGTTGCCAAAAGGTTGCAAGCGCAGTGTGACCCAGGCTTTAGATCTCCCAGGGACGTGAGCCCTGTACTATAGTTGCTGTTAGTCATTATATATTATAGCCTCCAAATAGACAAAAACACAACAAAAACAACATAGCAGTCGTTAGTATAGGTGTAAAATATGCATAAGGTTTTATAAGAGTTATGAAAATATTGTGGGTGATTAATTTAAGTTTAATGAATTGTTGTCAATGATAACTTAATCCTATTTTGTGTGCGTAATTCATTATTGCGTTTTCTTAATTTACGGATGTGGCTTCAACGCTCTCCAGAAGTCATTTTGTTTGTCATTTAAAGTCTACTGTTGTATTTCGAGTCGTTGGTAGGCTGTGCTTGGAAAATCCAACTACACCGGTCGTAATGACCTTTTCTCAAGTATACTTTTCTCAGGTATATTTACCAATCTGATAATTTAAAAGCAAAGCCAAAAAACTATTCATTTTTGTAATCTAAGAATAACGTTATGATTAAAGAGTATTGAAGCAGTTTAAGACGCATTGCACGCTAGTATTTGAAGATTTTTTAATCTTTCTTACAGTGACACTACTATCTCACTCTCTCAGATTGTAGTTTGACTCCGTGCGAACAGTGTAGGACTCTTTCATGACCAGACTCTGTAATTGAAATATTGATGATTTCTTAGGTATACATTCTGAAAACCAAACTAGACTTTTTGTTCTTTATCACTTTATTCTTCTAAAGACCGTGCCCCAACATTCTCGTGAGCACAGCCGAATCTGAAATCGTTGTTAACTCAGATAATGTCGACATGCCAAATCAATCACACGATCAGATAAAAAAGCTTTTAACTGCACTTTCTATAAGTATTTGATAGTAAAATTGACCTACTTATCTTCCCAACGTATCTAACTACTGGGGTGATCAACCTAAAAAACACAGAAAGAAAGTAGATAAATCCGTTCAAATATTACTTTTCGGGCAACATTAAGCAATGTATTTTGGTAGTCCTGTAATTTACACTTTTCGGATGTGGAACCATTTGGTTGGCTTTTGTGGCAAAAGATCGACTTCAAATGCATCTTTAACTAAATACGTAACTTAGAAGCCGACATTGCTGCATCAAGTGCGTAAATTGGACGAATTTTCTGCAACGTCGATTTTGATACTGATGAATAATATCTATTCACCAAATTAGACGTTGTTTCTGGATTAAAGAACATATTTGGAAATTTGAATGCTGGGTACGCATGCACTAGTTTCAAAATGTTGTTTGCATCTTCGCTTATTGTCCCAAAATACCCTATGACGTCATATTGAATGACACATGGGTGACATAAATCGTTTGGGGGCGCCCAGTGACCATTCAGAAAGTTTGGATTGTCACCAACGTAACGAAGGAATTCTTCAAATGTTATCTTTGGTACCCAACTTGGAAGTTCGTCTTTTGGAAAACTGAACTCTTCTCCAGATGAAAAGACACCAGATATCTGTCCACGGCCTTGGCTCACACTGACGGGAAGAATGGGTTCTACACCGCGATAGTGCTTCATAACGTATGGAACCACTTGCGAAGAGATATCGGCATGCATTAAAGGATTTCTTTCCAACTTATTACGATATGCAGAAAGTAATCTTTCCAAAGGATGCCTCAAATACATTACTTTCAAGTGGGACCTAAGTTTTTGTTTTGCTTTCAAAAGCGACAGAGTATCCAAAGTATGTAAATATTCTTTAACCACACCACTTGGGCTTAATCCGTTTTTCCTATGAGCTACAGAAGTATCGTTTATGAAACCAGACAGTGCTAGTAATAAGCGCTTCCAATTTGTGTTCCCCGATTTCGGTACGCGGCAATATATGATTTTATACTGGTCTTCTACGATGAGATGACTGCCGTTTTCTTTAATCCATGCTTTTGTCAAAGACGTTTTTTCCGTTTTATACTTCTGGCATGCCTCGGACACGAGCTTCTTTCTTCTTTGTATTTCTTTAAGCCATTCTTTGGGAATGACGTCATCATCTAAACCGCTCTCCTGAAAGAAATAAAATGCACTGTCGTTAGTCGATGTGTATTACCTGTATGTGTATTTATTGTCGTTTACCGCATCGTTTAACTGGTCCTTTGGGAGTAAATCAGGGGGCGCTGTATTCAAACGGAGAACAGATTACGTTAGAAGGGTACGCGATCATTCGAAGTAGGTCAGCGCTGCTGTACAGACTGGTTCTCCACTTTATTCCTGTATAAAGACATTTGTATAAGATGTTGGTTTTCTTATGTGTTGTAAAAGTATCATATTTATACAAGTAAGAACTGTACCAGAATTGGAATTGGAATTGGGCTGTGTGGGATTGGTCGTTAAGAGTTATCAGAAGATAAATGATTTATATACGTTTAAGTATCAGCGAATTAGAATATAATTGACATCATGTTGCTCCTTACGCTGAAACATTTTGATTTCATACTCATGGGATCAAGCTTTAACGCCTTTTATTTTAGGCCCTAAGAAAAATGTTATAGAAATTACACTCCAGGAAAATGGAAACGTCTTCAAAATTAAATTTTATCCATAATCACACACATAATATTTCAATTTTGACATCTTGGCGCTCTTAACGCTGACACACTTTGCCCATGAAACCAAATGTTCATCTTGACATTGTTAAGATCAATTATAGTCTTTTCACTCGGCTTTACCAAACGTTTAGCATCCTCCAACGTCTTCAGTATTTTTTAAAGATAATGTTATAAAATTCCAATCCATCGATATGGGAAAGTGTTCAGTCCTTTTCTTCGATGTATATACCAGTGCAGTATATACGGGAAGGAGGGAAATACCATTAAATTTTACTCACTGATAAATGTTGCCAAAGTTTTGAGTTTAAACTTTTTTATCTGAAACCTGTCCGAGGCAATGGCATGGCGGTCAATTATCAAATGAAAGCAAATAGAATGGAGCTAGACAGGATGATAAGGAACCTATAAACCTGAATTATTATACATATACGTATAGATAAGGAAACTGTTTAATATCTAGTTTTGCATTAAACAACATTGGTCATAAAGGTTGTCCCACCCCCATTTCCATGTACTTTTATTTACAAATGATCACCTTACAGGTGTATATTGTTATAAATGGTGCTTTTTATTCTAGATACCATGTCTAACATAATTAATGGTTCAAAAAACACAAAATAGTGGTGTGAATATGCACATTTTATACCATTTAGTCAAATTTATAACAGGTACCCTCTCAAATCCAATGTTTCACTGTGATTTCCACAGATGTAAAGAAGTGTCTATTAAATTGAAAAGACGCCATCAAATGTCACCAAATTTACACATGATTAACATTAGAATGTGCTCGTTAAAGGTCACGTGCCTAATAGCGTGTGCGTCTACCGCGAACTGTAATTATGTCCTGTAGATGGCGCGACAAGCCTTCAACAAGGGTAATAATTCTGTTTTGTAGGATATTGCCCCATCCATCCTAAAGAGCGTGGCGGAATTGGTCCAGATTATTTCGGAATTGGTTTCAACTCTGCAATGCTCATCCCAATTAATGCCACAGGGGCTCAGTAGGATTAATATCAGGGCTCAAAGACGGTTGTCCCATCCTTAGAGCCCTGTGTTTCAGCAACAAATCACTTGCCAGACGAGAGCTGTGAGCAAGTGCGCTGTCACAATGAAGCCGGTAGCATCCCTGAAGTAACCTCTTGCAAATGGAGTGAGCTATCTGTTGAAAATGTTACCGTAAAATGCCCCAGTTACGTTTTGTTCCACAAGGAACAATGTACTAATATGTACCACAGGCTTGGAATGTTCCCCAAATGCCGACTGATCTAACACCTCAGGCGATATTATCCTGCACAAACACTTCCAAGAGGCATTTTTCAACATGTCTACGGGCTTTCATTTGACTATCGATGGGATAAAAGAAATATTTTGATTCTGCAGCAAAACCGACTTCCATCCAGTGATGGATGGCCAGGTTCAGGTCCCTGTGGGATCACTGAACGTAGCATTCTCAGCTGATATCTCACTCCATCTTCAAGAACTGACTTTGGGATTAACTCCGGGCTTCATCATAACAGCACACTTGCTGACACTTCTCGCCTGGCAAGTGATTTGTTGTAGAAACACAAAATTCTAAGGATGGAACCATCATATTTGAGCCCTGGTATTAACCTTACTAATCACCTATGACATGAATTGGAGTGTACAATGCAGAGAAGAACCAACCCCATAAAAACGTGGACCAACTCCCCCAAGCTGTTTAGGAAGAATGGGATAATATCCCACGAAACAGAATTTTTAATCTTGTTGAAGGCTTGGCGCGCCATCTACAGGAGATAATTGCAGTACGCGGTAGACGCACACGCTATTAGACACGTGACCTTAACGAGCACATCCTAATGCTAATTGTATGTAAATTTGGTGACATTTGATGTCGTCTTTTCAATTTAATAGACATTTCTTAACATCTGTAGAAATCACAATGAAACATTGGATTTGAGGGGGTACCTGTTATAAATTTGACTAAATGGTATAAAATGTGTATATTTTCACCACTATTTTGTATTTTTTTAACCATTAATCATGTTAGACAATGGTATCTGGAATAAAAAGCACTAGTTATAACAATTTACACCTGTGAGCTGATCATCTGTAATTAAAAGTACATGGAAATGGGGGTGGGACAACCTTTTGGACCAATGTTGTATTGCATCCTTTTTTGTGAATCATTGATAATTCAATTAAAGCTAGCACCAGCATACATGCAAGTTTTTAATAAATACACAGATGTACAAGTATCAAGCACATGCATAAATAATAAGAAATCTAATTAGATGTACACGGCAGCTCGTTTTAGGAGGCTGTCTCAAAACGCCATTCCTGCCCTGACGATTTTGATAAAAATTTTGAGATAAAATGTGCTCACCATATACGTAAAGAATATGAAAAAAAATTGGGGGTAATCCAGCTGTTTTTCGATAGGTGGCGTCCGAAAAGCTTTACTTTTATTACGTGTGTTCTTTGCAAAAATGGCCCTAATTGGCAGACAAATGCAAAAATGAAAAATTCTGCCATAGCGATTTCAATCTAATTTTGATATGTTATAGTTCTTGGTAGAAGTCAAAGAAATTTATGAAAAAATATATGAACCATATCGAGCTCAATTTTGAGACGGGGATGCTTGAATATGATTTTTATTGATATTACGTAGGAAATAATGGGAATTGCTTAGCAAATTCATGTAGTTAAAAGTGTGTATCAAGGATTTTCCAACTTCGTGGTTAGAGCACATGTCCTGGTGGGTTAACTCTCGTCACTGTAGCACAAGTCTTAATCAATCGTCCTTTGCCAGCTCTACTTCGAAAATTTTCTTCATTTCCTGAGTTTTTAAACAAGTCGTTAGTGGGCATAACAGTTAAAGGGTTACTGAGCGTTATTCTCTAATCTGTAATTGCAACGTTTTGGTGACATATTCGTTAATCTTCGATCAAAATAACAACAAAACTTTCTTTCAAGTTTTTCGGTCATGTAGAAACAGGGAAATCTTATCAAGTTTAGTAATAAAATGTGCATAATTGGCACTAAGGGTATCTTCAAAAGATTCGTAGAAAGCACAATATCTCAACCTTTTCTGAGGCCATTGAAAGAAAAATGTCGAATGGTTAAAGCTTTTCCACATAAACAGATGGGAGAAGTCACATCTGTCCACTTGTGGTCATATAATTAAGATTTTAATAAGAAAACGACAGTTTTTGCATTATGTCTTTGGAGATTTAGATGTGTGGTTGAAATTGTTGCTGGTGGAAGGTTTTCGTTTTTAAGATTATATTTGAGAGAAGATGCAGAGAGTGCACTTTTCTGTGTGATGTTAAATCACCCCAGCTTGTCACCAAAAAGTGTTTAGGACCTTTGTATGTAGATTATTTGGGGACTAAGTAGTCTCCTTTCAAGGATGTTCTCAAAGCAAGTGTGGATTTATTTCTTGATTGTGAATATTAAACATATCTTTTTTCGCGTGATTCCTTCTACGTTCCTCCAGGGAAATCCAGTTAAGTTGTTTGACTACTTTACACGGCCCTCCTTATACTAAGGCTAGCCTGATACCGGAGGGAGTTTTGATGGATTCTGTAGAGACACTGTGCTATATAGAGGACATCGCAATAGTCAAACAGAGAAATGTACACATTGTAGAGTATATTTTTTAGGTTTAGAGTTTTAGAAGGCGGTTTTAAAAGATTTAATGCTTTTTTAACCTTGGTTAAAATATATGTAGTGCATTCACAGCAATCAAGCTTGTGATAAAGAATAAACCCAAGGTGTTTGTATTTTTCCCTTTGTTATAGGCGTGTCGTCAAAGGGACTGTACTTGTCTGCATTTTTTGCTTTTCATATTAAAAGTCTCTTTGTGGCACTTTTTAGGTTTAAAAAGTAAGTTTCCACTTAGATGATCGTGTTTCAAGGTATGGTATGTGTGTCGTATTGGAGGGTGTCTTGGGTATTACTCTCATCGGGCGTAGACAGGATAAAGATTGAAGTATATCATCTGCATATACGAAGCAGTGCGAGGTAAGACTATCAGGTAAGTCGTTTCCAAATTCACCTCCTGGAATATACTTCGGCCGGCAGGCCTTGTCATTGCACAGTTTGTTTACTCGGGCCTGCACTTGGCCTTATTTTTATGACATGTTCATTGAAAAATATGGTTTATTTGAAAAAAAGGAATATTCTAGATCTTGACATAAATCGTTATAATTCACGACATTCAACATGTTCGTTCTAGATTGATGATTCATGGTATGAAAGTAGCATTCAGAGACAAATGTTTTGCAATGTCCTCATGTCAAAATGAACTGCGGGTAGTAAATTATATTTTACAGTTTTTGCATTCATGTGTGCATACACTTAATTCTTACCTGGTCATTTTCACTATGTCCATTTCCCATCATTGCCATTATATCTTGTATAGGTATCGTAGTCGCCTCGAGCTGATCTACCTTTTCATCAAGTTTAAGATGAATAGTATCACGCGTAGAACGCCCTAGAATTCATTAAATGCCACTTTAACTATAAAATTGAATACTTCAGACGCGTAATGATTATATGCTTTCCACCTTTGCACTTAAAACTGTTATCATTGCTTCTAGTTATTGAAATTGTATTCGTTCCTGCAGATAATATATTGATTTAATGTAGGAGAGCATGAGAAGAAGAGAGCAAAAGGTCTTACCTCCCACGTGCAATGAGATGACAAAGATGCAAAAAGCAACGAGAAGAAATCCCAGCATTGTACGACACACCCACTTCATATTGGCAAGGTAATTAACTGATCGAAATATCAACTATACCTCGTGGAGATGAAAAGTGCAATTATAACAGGTTACCTAACAGACTTATAAACAATTTAAGGTCATTTATTGTATATTAATGTGGCAACTACTGTACATTCGATGCGGGCCATTATTGAAACTGAATGAACATAAAAATACGGGTTTTAGGATTCTTTGTCTTTCAATCCGATTTGTATCTTGAAAATCGCAAATCTTGACATATCTCCCACAAAACTTTAGGGCAGTGTTTCACCTGTCTTATGCCCCTATTTCACACAGACCACGAATCCCACGAATGGCCATGAATTGACGAATTTCAGGATTCGTGGTTGAATCGTAATCAGTTCGTGAAGTTCTTAGCAGATTCGTATATATTCTTAGTCAGTTCTGGCAATTCTTGATCAATCGGGAATTCGTGGCAAAAATTTTGAGCTGTTCAAAATTTTGGCCAAGAACTCCCGATTCCAAAATATCGTAGTGAATTTCTGGACAATATTCGTGCGATTCCAGCCGAATCCCACGAATATTCGTAACACTCTCGCACCTGTATCGTAACTGAATCGTAGAGCGTGTCGAATTAGACCAGAAAATTGGCAAAATCTCACGAATCCTCACGAATCCTGAAATTTGTCAATTCCTGGCGATTCGTGGGATTCGTGGTCTGTGAGAAAGATATCGATCGCCTACTAGAGAAAAAGCAATCGGCATATAAGCCCGGACATAATAGAGATACAGCACTGATTGTAATTAATAATTATCTATTCATGAGTGTACATATATAAATAGTCATGTTACTGTGCTGTCCTTTTATACCGGTCAGCGGCTTTTGATGTACATGAATGATAAACCGAGTGCTTCTCACTTTCAGGCCACATAAATTGATTAGGCGTATCCCAGAACGAGCCTCAGATTCCCGAGTGCAAACGCCAATATTAACGAGCCCCCCCCCCCCCCCTCAGATTAACAAGCACAACGTTAAGTTAACGAGCACTGACTTAGCGTTTCCAAGCACTACCCGTTGATCCGCTTATCTGCCCGTTTGGTATGTTCCGTATGAGCCGAAGGTTGTCGAGAACGCATTGCTGCTGTATTCATACGCGGTATGGATAGTGGAACATACTAATGCAGCAGTTTGGTTTGTTTTGAATATTTTTATATATTCTACGTTTATTTTGCTCAAGTTAAAATATTGATACATGGAAACAGATATTTCTGAGTCGGTGAAATAGTCGACGAATAATTTTATTTGGCCATGGCGTGGACGTTATCAATCCTTTCTCTTTCGTCAAAGAGACAGAAAGGGGAGATAATATAACTCGTTTGCGCCCAGAAATCTCTGAAAGTTCCACCATTATGTCTCTTGTATTTTCCACCGTCTTGAAAATAGTCCTACATGTAAGTTGATAAAAACAACCCGTATGTAAGCAACCGGGGGCCCCGATGGAAGCTGGACAAATTGATAGTGCATGGAAACGCTAAGTTTGTGCTCGGTAACTTTACGTTGTGTTTGTTAAACTGAGGTGGGGCTCGTTAACATTGGCGTTTGCGCCAGGGAATCTGAAGCTAGCGATCGTTTATGAGGCCTGACTTTCCTATGGGAGTGTTGTCGCTTACGACAACAAGTTGCGGTTACGGTCGTATTACTAGTCATCTTTGTTTTGTTATGCAAATGATTTGCTCAGTATATATACGGCCAGCAGTAGATCTGGGCACGGCCACGTTTGTAATACCCCCTTTACACTGGACGGCGTCCTTTCTGCGACCATGAAATTTGGCATCGCTGTGGTCTTAATAAGGAGGCACGAGCATTGATTTGGTATCAGAATGAATGTTCAATGATCGGCCAGTTGTCGGCACGTAAAGTATTATAATTCTTTAACTCTCAAATAGGGCCGAACTGTTGGACGCAGAAGGGACGCCGTCCAGTGTAAAGGGGGCTGAATTGACGAGCAGAAGGCTCAGGTCGCCAAGTGTCAGGATTTAGTAGTCACTTCGGCAAAATCTGTGGATCACCATCAAGCGGGAAAAGCTACATTTCTCTGTACGTATTGTTAACCATTTGCACCATGTATATGTAAAAGCATAAGTCGTTTGTCTAGCCAAATTTATAGTATGCACAACATTTCCCATTTCTTATAATTAATTCATTATTTCTTTTTATATTTGTATTCAGTTTATATTATATTTGTGTATTTTTATATTATCAGTTTGGTGTTTATCTTTCATTATTTTGTTATTTTTTAGTTTCACCATGTCAGTGTATGTGCGTGAATAAAGGTGTGAACATTTTCCCGGTGTTTGTGTTCGTTTGGCATGGGATCCGCAACAGGAGAGTATCGGGATGTGAGGCAGTCCTTGATTTTCTCTGTCTTAATAGCAGGACAGAATAGATACCAGAATAAGGAATTTGGTCTGTCAGTACTAGTGCATAGTGTTCCTCTTAGATGTGTACACTACCTCTTCTCGTAATCACAAGGCACTACATCTTGGTGAAACCACATGCTTTTCACAGGTTTCTACCCCCTACATTTTCGCATATTGTGCAGGCCGCAGAATATATCTTAAATACGGGAATTGATTTTAATTGAGCCGCGGGCATGGGTACGCTGCTCGTATTAACAATGTAATCTAACGTTAATTGGTCCCATTTTACTTTCGTGTAGTAATTGCTATTATATCTCAATTTACTAGGACTTATCTAACGTAAATTAACAACCACGCGGTTTTGGATAAAACCAGGCAACATCATGTGAATAAAGAGAGTATAGATTTCAGGACTACCCAACTACCAGACTCGGCACTCGGCGTCAGTACGCATTTCACAGTATCATACCCGGTGTAATATGAAAATCTTACTCCCATGAAAATCTGACTCCCCAGTCAAAATTCCATAATGAAAATCTGACTCCCTCCATTAAATATTGACTCCCCCTCACAAAACTTTATAAATCTTTTTTTATTTGAGTATATAACTTTTATCTTGTAATATACATAATGGTGGATACATTGGCACTTTTTGAAAATTTTCATGAGAAAATAAAAAATAATTAAAAATGTGTATTTTTCCACCCAATGTCTCCTATGAAAAGGCTAGACTACGGGAGTCCAAATTCTACAGTTAGTAAGATGAATGCTTGTTTCAAAAATTATCAATGTTCACCAAAATTTTCACCACCAAACTTAAATGCTAAAAAAATATACGTCACAATGCAAACCATGTGAAAAAGGACCTGTGTTGTGGGGTGACTGAATATAAAATAGGGCCTTTTCTTCATGGGAGTCCAAATCCCATGGGTATGAATATGAAGATATATATATATCCAATATATTCTTCATAAAGTGCACTTAAGGGAAAGATGTTGAAATGATCGCCAAATATCAAATAGCTTTTTCTTAGGGGAGTCACTGGGTGGAAAATACACATTTTTAATTTTCTTATTTTCTCATTAACATTTTCAGCTGCAAACTAACAAAAAGTACCAATGTATCCTCCATTATGCATACTACAATATAAAAACCATATACTCAAATAAAATAAGATTTATAAAGTTTTGTGGGGGGAGTCAAAATTTCATGGGGGGAGTCACATTTTCATAGTGAAAATCTGACTGGGGAGTCACATTTTCATAGTGAAAATCTGACTGGGGAGTCACATTTTGGGGGAGTCAGATTTTCATGTTACACCGGAACAAATTTTGAAATGAGATGCACTACTTTCCAACCCCGCTGAGAATCATCACTATCACATCGCGTTCTAGGCAAGAGCGGTGTCGCGTCTGTTACTTCGAAGCACGTACTGATACAATCCTTGAAAATGGCTGTTGTGGTCCGATCTACCGGTGAATTCAGGATCATTAGGTGCCGAGTCTGGTAGTTGGGTAGGCCTGGATTTGATAACTAAGCTGTGGTGTTGTGGTGCTTTTCTCTCCTGGCATAACCCAAGTCGGGAATGTACCGAATGTTGAATCTTCTGTATTCGGATTAGGGCCCCTTATTATTATTATAGAATAAAATATACACCGCAATATCTTGAAGAACTCAGTACAATATATACTGCCGATACTCAGCTGCACCCTCCTTCCAAACACCCTGAAATTCCCTTAACGAAAATGAAATAACTCATAATCCTGCCTCAGGTCCTGGACGGTTAAATACAAACGGATGGCCAATGACGGTAAAATGGAGTTATTGTGTCTACGTAATGCCCCTATTTCACACAGACCACGAATCCCACGAATGGCCATGAATTGATAAATTTCAGGATTCGTGGTTGAATCGTAATCAGTTCGTGAAGTTCTTAACAGATTCGTATATATTCGTAGTCAGTTCTTGCACTTCTTGACCAACAGGAATTAGTGGCAAAAACTTTGATGCCCCTATTTCACACAGACCACGAATCCCACGAATCGCAAAAATTTTGAGCTGTTCAAAATCTTGGCCACGAACTCACGATTCCAAAAAATTGTAGTGAATTTATGGACAATATTCGTGAGATTCCAGCCGAATCCCACGAATATTCGTAACACTATCGCACCTGTATGGTAACTGAATCGTAGAGCGTATCGAATTAGACCAGAAAATTGGCAAAATCTCACGAATCCTCACGAATCCTGAAATTTATCAATTCATGGCCATTCGTGGGATTCGTGGTCTGTGTGAAATAGGGGCATAAGCACTGCATGTACATTGCTGAGACCCTCAGAAGCCTATCAAGATACTGTGGTCAATGGACTTGTGAAGATTATTTTTGTCTATAACTACTTGTATTTGTCTGTTCTTATCAGCCAGGGAATGAGGTTGTGATAGATGTGACAACATGATGATGTCTGACTGCAAGCAGGCGAAATATTGGCTGGTAAGACTGCAAGCAGACGAAATATTGGCTGGTAAGACTGCAAGCAGACGAAATATTGGCTGGTAAGACTGCAAGCAGACGAAATATTGGCTGGTAAGACTGCAAGGAGACGAAGTATTGGCTGGTAAGACCAAGTGCACGG